AGCTAAATTGATACATAAAATGAACCACCATAGCCAGTCAAAGCGAGTTCCCCTAGGCTGTATTACGGGCAAGTGGTAGATCCACAATTTGAATCGAAGTCTGTCTGGCTATAAAAACCCTCACTGTTTCTACTGTGCCACAGCACCCTAAGGTAAGCAGGTTATTTCTTGTAGCATCTAGCTGAGATGTCAGTCCAGTTGGAAGAATGAAAATTTAGATCTGAGCAAGAAGGGTAGGAAGGGTAAATGGTTTGGGAGCTCCAGGTGCTGGAGGAACTGGGTAAGGGAAAGGCAAGTCAGGAAAACCTCACTTGGACAGCGATATAATGGAGCAGAGTTTTGGTTGGGTTGGAGGACTCGGCATTGGAGGACACCGAACTTGGTCTGATTTAGCAGTTTTGGCTTGGCCTGGATCTGGTTCTGTAGAAGGTACTCCATCCACATTTGCATTGGAAAATGAACCTCTCGAAGGCAGGGCTGTGTCATATTTATCCTCATATTTGCTCTATGTGCATGGTAGAGTGTCTAGCTATTATACTGATAAACTCGTATCTACTAAATTTATAGTAGAAGATTAGGATCGGGGTTTAGGTGTTGGATGGCTATAGCCTGTTGTACTTTTGCAGTGTTTTCTGAAGGTTGAACGTATTGTCTGCTCCTTTTCCACTGTGTTGTCTGGCTAGAACAAGGGCTTTGTGTGGCGCTGCAAATCAGAAGCTACTTCCTGCCTACCGTTTATGTTCACTGGCCTAGAGAGATACCTGATGGGCCCTGCAAGTTCTCACTTCCTCAAAGTGAGAAGAGCAGCTGCTGGTTTGCAGCATCAGCCATGGTGCTGATTTCCCATAGTGCCTAGTTGTTCACCAAATGCTGCCCTAGAACTATCCCTACTGTGGCTAAATACAAGAAAACAAACTAGGTAGTGATTTTGGTAGTAGGTGACTAGGTTTATTTGGGCAGGTGGGTTTTTGTTGAAATTGTTTCTTTTCACTTCTGCACACATGCCTGATTGAATGCTTGCTAAAGTGGAAGAAGAGACCAGACAAGGACAAGAACAATTGCTGTCATGGCATTTGGCACCCTGACTCTAAACCTCATTCGCTGACCTGACTCTTAATCGATAAAAGCGATACCCTAAATCTAGATAAATTTACTCTGAAGCATGGTTTCTTCTCCATACTTTAAGGTTCATTTTACTATGACTTGAAAAGTCTGTCTGGTTTTTGTTTCTCACTTGACGTCAGGCTTTCTCTCTCTGCTTCAGCGGATCCCCCTGTGATCTCGGAAGAGAAAGGGCCCTGTTACCGACTTGTCAGTTCCGGAAGGCAGTGTATGCACCCTCTGTCTGTTCACCTCACCAAGCAGCTCTGCTGTTGTAGCGTGGGCAAGGCCTGGGGCCCGCACTGTGAGAAATGTCCCCTTCCAGGCACAGGTAAGACATGCCAGCTGTGTGCTCACATACACTCCCAGCCACGTGGGTGTGCAGGATGTTTAGGTGTGGAGAGGCCAGAAGGCTGTGCTGGGCCTTGTGCTTTGCTAATGACTGGTTGCTCATCACTCACAGTCACCAGCCCTTGTGCAGGTTGACCCATTCACTCATTTATCGAACACTGTGCTTAATTTCTTTAATTGGAATTGGAGGGAATTATATTCATGATTGAATTTATGCTATGAAGCTTAATAACTCAAGGGCAGATCCTGCCAAAGCCCTTATGAACTTCCAGGGGAGTTGAGCATTAAGAAGTTGATTTTTCTTTAGCCTTCAGTTTGGTACATAATTGCCTGATGCCCTGAAAGGGTAAATTTATCTAAGTACCTTACTTCTACCAAGGAACCTCCAACTTCTCAAGCAGGATAGAGTAGAGTTAAATGGAATAGAGAGAAACGTAACCTGCAAATATCGGGCATGCTGTTACCAAGAAAGGAGTGGCCTTTCACTGGCTTGAGATGGGCATGAAACAGTCTATTTAGTTGTTTATTGGGTAAGCTGCTTCCCATCTTGGGAATTGTTTTAACTCTCACAAGGCCATGTAGTGTCTTAAAGCTGTAACTTACACTACAGCAGACAGGGTTTAAATATAAATTTAAGTATCATGATCCACCTTTGTAGAATCAGAAGGAACTCTGTTAAGGCAAAGATAATACAATGTTGATGGTATATTGGTAGATTAGATAATTTTAGACACCTCCAAAAGGCCTCCCGTTCCACCTGATCTGCTTGTTATTAAAAATTAATGGTCAAGTAAATGATCTTTATAATTCATAGACACATTTATCTTGAAGTTCAGTTTTGATAGCTTTGTAATCCTCACATGAAGCATAAATTAAGATGTTTGAACATAACTCAGGGATATTCCTCCAT